TGTTGCCTCCATTAGGAAAAGAAATTCTACTTCCATCCAGCTTGAGGTTGATGGTAAGCAATTAATCAAACCCAATGATATTGCATTTTCAAAGCATTTTCTATCAGTATACCACAGTCTTTGTCCTACTGTCTTCCCCAACCTTTTGTCATCTTTCGAATTCTTACCTTTAGCATCTGTTTCCAATTCAGATGTTATCAAAGCCATTAAGCGCCTGAGACCAACTTAATCTGTTGGACTTGACGGTACCCCTGGATTCATTATTAAGGGTTGTACCGATATATCTGTACCTATTCTTAAACATATCTTTAATCTAAGCTTATCTCATCATTATTTTTCCACCCTATGGAAGCAAGCAGCAATTGTTCCTGTTCTCAAAAAAGGCAAAAGGACCTGTGTTAGCAACTACAGGCCTATCTCTACTGAGTAATTTTTCTAAAATATTCGAATTTATTGTTCATGACCATGTTTCCCATTATCTAAAATCAGCCCTTATCAGCATGGCTTTTCAAAAACTAAATCCACAACTTACATCGATTTTATTTCCCCTATAGTCGGCTCTCAGAGACAAGCTGATGCCATTTATGTTGATCTGAGCAATGCATCTGACCTCGTCTCAAATTCTATTCTTCTTTCCTCGCCTTCTGAAGTTCTCTCCGGTGTTCCTCAGGGATTTGTCTTGGGACCTCTTCTCTTCAATGTGTTTATTAATGACATATGCGATGCAGTTGCCCACTCTAAGTGTCTACTTTTTGCTGAAGATATCAAAATTTACTGAGCCATTAATTCTCCTCAGGACTGCTATGTACTGCAGTCTGACGTTAACTCTATACAAGGTTGGTGCATTGCTAACTGTATGAAACTCAACATCAGTAAAACTAAAGTTACATCCTTCTCCAAGAAAACCAACACACTTATCTATGATCATAAACTTTGTCAATCGCCCATAGCCTGGACCGATTCTATAAAAGACCTGGGAGTGTTTACTGATGTTAAACTATATTTCCATGACCAGGTCAATTACATTTTCTCTCACTGTGTTAAACTGTTGGGTCTAGTTAGTAATATTACTTTCAATTTCTCATCTCTAGACTGTATGCTCCGATTGTACACTGCATTAGTTAGAGCTAAGCTTGAATATGCGTCCGTAGTCTGGAATTCGATCACGTCAACTGATGCCAACAAGCTGGAATGCATCTAGCAGAGGTTTGCGGCCCTTTATTTCAATCATTTCTATCCTCAAGTCCATTGCAGTTATTCTCTTGCCCTGGAGGAGTTAAAATTGCATACTTAACATACTAGGAGACATCGCCTCGATGCTCTCTTTCTTACTCAAGTTTACTTTGGTTTGAAATTCTGCCAATCTGTTCTGGAAATTGTTGGTCTCCAAGTTCCTGCCTGGTATATGAGTGACTTTGCACTGTTCAATGTTTGCTGCTCATGTAAAAATTGTCCCTCTGCTAGATGTGCAGCAGCTGCTAATGTTGTCTGCAGGGATGTTGATGTATTCGGAGCCAGGAAAGTTTCCCCAAACGATTTTTAAATATGGCATAACTGTTACTATTATTATTTGCATGAATATAAAAAAACAATTAAACTTAATTATTATTATTATCATCCTCTCTGAAAATCTATTCTTTTCATTTCACAATTAAATATTTATACATTTCATTTCTCAGTTCTCAATAACAACTCAGATTTATATTAATGAAATTATTATTATTATTATTATTATTATTATTATTGTTTATTTACTTGTCTGCATTAATGTGTTTTTCCTCCAGTGCTTGCCTGTAATTTGTCACTGACTGTGATGTTGTGATCGTCCATAATGTAATTACTTGTATCTACACTGTGCTCTGTCCATAATTGGCCTTGCAGCTGTAGACTTGGCACATAAATAATAAAGTATTGAAGAATTATTATTAACTTTTATGTGTGTATGTATGTGTATAGTCCTTTCTCCCCACATAATGACATAACCACTGGAAATGCACTTATTTTCTTTTCTCACCTATTAATGATAACTTCAGTTTTTCATGGAATTATTATTAATTTATTACTATTCTACAGAATGCTTCATTTTGTATTTTGTTTGTTAGATATTTTTATGTCTTTCTACGTACTCATGCTAACTTTGTAATTGGTCTATGAGCTATTAAGTTTGCATGTAAATGAACAAGAACTGAATTGAATTCAATTAAAATAATTCATACAACCTCTTTATTTGACCATCACAACACAGCAAATATAGAACTTCAAGGACAATGCTCAGTATGGTTCTGCTACATGTTTCGGCCATGAGTGGCCATCATCAGGCAAACACACTTCAACAAACATACACTATTGAACTGATTACTTTCCATACAATACGTACAATTCTCTGCATGATGAAGCCCCAACTATTCCATTAATTAATTCACAACATTATTGGACCTCCTAAATTTTATAAGAAACTCGAATTTACTATTCGTCAACAGAAATGTATGAAAAGTAAAACCAACGACTGATTCGATGTTATTAAACATCAATCAAATTTTAATTTTATATATGACTTGTTATCGTTTTAAATAACCTACTTATTGTATTCTTGTGCAAATTAACTTAAATGATTTATAACATTGTATCAAATTTTATGTACTGCAGTTCAATGGTGTATGTTTGTTGAAGTGTGTTTGCCTGATGATGGCCACTCGTGGCTGAAACATGTAGCAGAACTATACTGAGCACTGTCCTTGAAGTTCTATATTTGCTGTGTTGTGATGGTCAAATAAAGAGGTTGTATATATTGTAACATGGCAGGATGCATGAAATTAAAATTAAAATAATTCAGTTCGTTTATTTGAGTGTCTGCCAACAGAAAGTAGCCTATAAGAGGCAAGCACTATAAATACGTACAAAACTAAAAACTATACTAAGAATCAAATACCAAAAACTAAAACAAAACAAAATAACATATTATGTCAACAGACACTGTAAACTAAATAGGACTAAAAGGGAAAGTATTCTAAAGGGACAGGGTGTTCATTAAAAACATACAGAAATATGCAGTTGCTGCTTCCACCTTGATAAAGGGCCTATCTTGAAACATTATGCACATTGGAGATATCCCTAATTTTCTCAGTGGGTATATGGAGATGAACAATATCCACAACAGAAAAACAGGTGATCTTGTCTTTGAAAACATTAACTACAAATGAAGCACTAGGATGTTGTCATCTGGAATAAAGTGGAATAAAATTTAAATGATGCAACAATGAATTGCAGCTATGAGGAAAACAGTACTGAAGAAATCAACTGTAATATAAACTTTCTAATTTTCTCTGTACATTTTCCAGTTTATTAGACCCTGCTAAAGGCAGGATATTCCTGGCAGCAAAAAATAAGATCCAAAATATGGATACAAACTTAAGTTTTGTATGTAACATGTAAATCCTTAAATAAAAATATATATTACTTAAATTAATTAGGTGTACAGAACTTATGCCATGATCAAAAAAGGTACCTTAAATACGGGAAAACTTAAAGGGCAGGTCCCTTGATGTTTCACTGCACTTAATTTACTTGTAGTACTGACTTTTAATAGTGACTAAATATTCAGTATTAATTCAGATAAAGATGCACCCACAACCAAGTTTGATTAAACCCTCAGTTTATTTAGTTTATTTACTCATCTGTAAACAGTATACTATTTTTTTAAGTTAAAAATTAACAGTTTATAGTGCTGCACCCCCTGGAATCCTTGGCGCGCACATAAAATTGCCAAGGTTGCCTCTGTCCCATCCTGTTTCTCCCAAACAGTATGTCACAGAACAAAATTGGTAAATACACAAAAAAAAAGTTCCTCTTAGAGAGACAATCCTGGAGAAACTGTTAATTTTGCTGCTATGTGAATGAGTTCAAGCCAAAGCCAATTTATTTCCCTTTCCTTTCTCCACAGAAAAGCACTGAGATCATGATGACAGTGAGTACATAAATGTTGCATATTTTATAGTAACCACAGAAACGTTATATGTTTATGTTAGATTACAGCAATATGTACGACAAAAACAGTTTCTGAAATTGAAGGACATATTTTTTGACGCAGAATTGTTAGTAATACAGGGCTACCACAACTGATTCATTCGTTTTTAAGACGCTATATTTTCCGAAGCATTAGACGTACAAATATGATTGATATATAAAAAAAAAGAACCATAAACTCACCAAGTTTTCTTCACACTCTACAAATGTTCTATATGTGCCCCATGGGTCACACGACACACGTCCAGGTGGTAGTCGAGCTTGTTCCGCACATTTTGTAGCATTACCCTGTCAATGGTCATCACTGCAGCATCGATGTGTTCCCTCAGCTGTACTAGTGATCTTGGCAGTGGGGGTATGTAAACACAATCCTTAATGTACCCCCAAAGGAAGAAGTCACAGGGCGTTAGATCAGGTGATCTGGGGGGCCAAGTAAACAGAGCTACGTCATCCTCACCAACACGCCCAATCCAGCGATGCTGAAGTTCATTGTTTAGGTAGAGATGAACATTGTCGATACCACCACAAATGCTTTGTTTACATGGCGGTTCTTTTCCTTACTCTCTTTTGAATGCGCGTTGCACTGCTATAACAGACGAATATCTCGAATATTCCAACAAACAAAAACTCTTTTCTTGCTTTGTCACCATTTTGTAAAGGCACTGAACTCGTGCTGCCAACTGGTGCATATAATACAAACTTGGTGAGTTCACGGTTCTCTTTATATATCAATCATATGTGTATGTGTAATACTTTAGAAAATATAGCGTTTTAAAAACGAATGAATCATTTATAGTAGCCCGGCATTATAATTAACCACAGCACATTCTGCAGTAATGTCACAATTCAGCAACAAACTTTTTATAGTATGTCATTGAAATATGTAGTTTTTTAATAATAATAATAATAATAATAATTTTTTATACATTACACCAGTATAAGTTGAATTCATGGTCATTTCAATCTGAAGTCCTTACCAGCCTCTCGATCGATATCCTGCAGCTGCTCTGCAGACTTCATTGCTCTCAGTTTTTGGGGCACTAGCGTCCAGATCTTTACAAAGGAGTCTGCAAACCCCACCGCCAACAGACTGGAGTCTTCTGAGACCTCTGCACTCGTCACTCTGAGGCCAGTAAACACAAATTACCAAGTATGCAGCAGTAAGATATCAGATTTGGCTGATATTAAGAGATTTGTAGAATACTCGTACAGTAAAACTGCCTATAATGGCATCCAGAGGGACAAGAGCATTGTTCTCTTTAACATGGGTACTTATTTCCCAGACATGTCATTGTATAATACCTATCCTATGTACAAGTATTTATGATCCAAAATCAGAAACAGAAAATTATGTTACATATGTAGGCACACTACAATTGCTAAACAGTAACTTCTTCAATGAGGCTGAGCAATGTGAGAACCAGAGAGAGGAAAACGCATTCTCAGCTTGGACACATCCTCACAGTGGCAGCTATTTCTACTGCAGAACCCGGAGAGACATTAAAAAACTCACACGCCAGCTGAGTTGAGCAGGGTGTAGAAGCAGATTGATGGAAGTGTCTCAGGGCCAAGAGTAACTCTTTTGGATGCTTCTCGCAAGGCCTTCACCTTCTCCAACTTATCCGCATCTTTTCTGCAAGCAGATTTGAAAACTATGGATGCAGTTGTGACTAGAGTGAACATTCTCTAACACAGTGTGACTATAAGACTTTGCTGAACTGTACAGTAGGAGAGAAGCTACTTTCAATAATATATATGCACATAAGGTAGGGGATAATCTGAACAATATAAGACATAAAACCAGCAGGCATTTCAGGAATAAACTGAAAGAATATCTCAAAGACAAAATCGATAAGGTTGCAATGAACAGTAAGAACAAGAACATTAGAGACCTGTATAGAGGAATAAATGGGTTTAAGAGGGATCACCAACCTAGAAGTAACTTAGTGAAGGATGAGAATGGTGATCTGCTTGCAGATGCCCACAATACTTTGAATAGGTGGAAGAACTACTTCTCTGTTATTGAATGTACATATGGTCAGTGAGGTTAGGCAGATAAAAATACATACAGCTGAGCCGTTAGTACCTGAACCTAGTCCTTTTGAGGCTAAAATTGCTATTGCAAAATTGAAATGGTATAAACTGCCAGGTAGTGATCAAATTCTGGCAGAACTTATTCAAGCAGGAGGTGAAACATCATGGTCTGAGATTCCTAAATTCATTAATTCTATTTTTAATAATGAAGAATTGCTTGATCAGTGGAAGGAGTCTATTATTTTACCAACTTACAAGAATATCGATAAAACTGACTGTAGTTATTGTCTTGGGATATCACTGTTATCAACTTCATACAAAATTATGTCCAATATCCTTCTATCAAGGTTAAGTCCATATACAGATGAAATGACTGGGGATCATGAGTGTGGATTTCTGCATAAAAAGATCAACTACTGATTAGATTTTTTTTTGCATTCATCAGATATTGCAGGAAAATTGGGAGTATAGTGAGACAGTAAATCAGCTATTTGTAGACTTCAAAAAAGCCTATTGTACAATATTTTGACAGAGTCTGGGATACCCATGAAACTAGTTAGGCTGAATAAAATGTGTTTAAATGAAATGTATGGTAAAGTTCGTATAGGTAAACATTTGTCTGATAATTTTCCTATCTAGAATGGTCTAAAACAAGAGATGCTTTATCACCACTGCTTTTCAACTTTGCTTTAGAATATGCCATTACTGAAGGTCCAAGAATACCAAGTGGGACTGAAATTAAATGGGTCACATCAACTGTTGGTCTATGCTGATGTGAATCTACTGGGTGATAATATAGATACCATAAAGAGGAACATATAAACTTTAATTGATGCTAGTAAGGAGGTCGGTCTAAAAGTAAACACAAAGAAAATTATATGTTGCTGTCTCATCACCAAAATGCAGGACAAAATCATGACATAAAGATAGGTAACAAATGTTTTGAAAATGTGGTACAGTTCAGATATTCTGGAATGACAATAACAATCAAAACCTGATTCAGGAGGAAATTAAGAGGAGACTGAACTCGGTTAATCCTTACTACCATTCAGTCCAGAACCTTTTGTCTTTTTGTCTTCTGTCTAAAAACATAAAAATTAGAATATGAAACTATAATTTTGCCCGTGGTTCTGTATGGGTGTGAAACTTGGTCTCTGACTTTAAGGGAGGAACGTAGACTGAGGATATTTGAGAACAGGGTGTTGAAGAGAATATTTGAAATGAAGAGAGATGAAGTGACAGGAGGTTGGAGAAAACTGCACAATGAGGAGCTTCATAACATTTACTCTTCTCCAAGTACAGGGTTATTCAAAAGAATGAACCCATTTTATTATGCAATATTTTATTAAAGGAAAGTAATACAAAACTCCAGCCATGTCACAAGTATTCTACTCACAATCAACTTTTATTTCCTGTCTTACAAGTGTTCAATGTGGCCACCACCTGCAGCATGGGCAACATCAATGAGATAAGAGAATTCCTCCCAGGCGCGTATCAGCATATCACGATGCACTGAGTTAACTGCTGTTGTTATTTGATGTTTAAGGTCATCGAGGTTAGTGGGTAGCAGTGGAACATAAACGTGATCTTTTACATATCCCCACAAGAAGAAATCACATATGGTGAGGTCTGGGGATCTCGCAGGCCAAGCACAAAGAGCAAGGTCTTGGGTCCCCTTCCGACCAATCCATTGCTGAGGCACTTTTTCATTTAAAAAAGCTTGGACCATCAGGTGCCAATGGGGCGGTGTGCTCCATCTTCTTGAAAAATGAAGTCATGCGAATCTGCTTGCAGTGAAGTGAAGAGCCAGTTTTGGAGCATATCGAGATAGGTATGTCCTGTAACAGTGTTTCCTTCAAAGAAAAAGGGACCATAAACCTTCTCCTGAGACACAGCACAGAAGACGTTCACCTTAGGGGAATCTCTTTCTTGCTCAACTGTTTCATGTGGGTGCTCTGTTCCCCAAATACGCACATTGTGACGACTGACTGTGCCGCTCAAGTGAAAAGTTGCTTCATCACTAAAAATTAAACGTGAAATGAAGGTTTAGTCTTCCATCATCTCCAGCATCGATTCACAAAATTCCATCCGCTTCCTTTTGTCGTTATTGGTAAGTGCCTGAACGAGCTGCAGTCTGTATGGTTTCAAATGTAGACGTACTGTTAGCACACGCCAGACAGTGGATTGCGGGATCGCAAGCTCACGGCTAGCTCGATTTGTTGACTTCCACAGGCTCCTCTGAAACGCAGCACAGATTCTCGCCACTTGTTCCTCCGAGACTCGTGGTCGTCCTGGACTTTTTCCTTTATACAGACACCCACTCTCTTGAAACTGTCGAAAAAACTGTCGAATGTTCTTAGGACAGGGCAGATTAATGCCAAATCGCCTTCGAAAAGCACGCTTCACCGTGACAACTGAATTTGTTTTCGCGAACTCGAGAACGCAGAAGGCCTTTTGCTGAGGACTCGCCATTCTGAGGGTATACGAACAACTGAACATTGCCGGAAGAACGACGCGACTTCAGCGCCCCTGTGGCAGCCATTCACAACTTAGATAACTCCTCTTTCAAATGATCACTAACTCATTCATGACGATGCTTGAGAACCGAAGCAATGCGTCATGAAATTGGTTCATTCTTTTTGAATAACCCTGTATAATTACAATGTTCAAGTCAAGGAGGATGAGATGGGCAGGGTATGTAGCACGAATGGGGAGAGGAGGAATGCATATAGGATATTGGTGGGAAAGCCAGAAGGAAAGAGAGCACTGGGAAGACCAAGACGTAGGTGGGTGGCATTTACTCCCATGATTCATTCCTGTCTTGCTGTTTGAAGGGAACCGAATTTGTAATGTTAATGCCCTTAAATGCTTTTCCCTCATCGATTCAAACAGTTCTGATCACAAAAGCAATGAATGAATAACATGCAGAAAAATTTTATTTGTTTCATTCTGGTCCGTCACACTAACAATATTATAAAAAGATAAAACATGTCTGTCCAGTGTGACTAGTGAAGATTTTTCTTATTTCAATTCTTCATGCCCTTACATGTTTTAGTCCTTAGAGACCATCATCAGAGGGACATCAATACAGTTCAGAAACTACTATTACAATGGATGTTCTGAGCATTAAAATATACATACAATGTTGATAATTAGGGCCCGGATTTTTATGACCTAAAAACTATAAATATATGCATGCACTTATGACCCAAAATTATGTCAAATATGACCTAAAAAGTGTAAAATATGACCTTAAATATTAAATGGGACATAAAATTTCACAATTTTAATTAAAGATAAGAATAAAATTAAGAATAAAGATGATGAATATATGATAGTAGGTCCTACTTACCAAATTAGCCCTATTATGTCTCTGAAGGAAAGAAAACTGATGGAATTTCGACATTTCGTACTGGATTAAACCATTCATTGCTTTCTTTTTAACACTGATATTTGCGTTCATATTTTAGAAAAACACTGGTGCACACGGTATGAACACTAACTTAACTCTGTTATCTAAAAACACCATTTAAAAGAACACAAGCTATTCACGTCTCAATTTTCACTGTTACAATTGCAATTTATAACTACATGCATTTTCAAATTTTCAAATTTGAAAGATCGCCGATTATCACTAAGGATAGTTNAGCTAGAGTGTAGAGAATAAGTCCTTGACAGCTTTAATTGATGTTGACTCACTGCTGTCAAAGCCATTAAACATTTTCTCAATGGCT